GGGAGACTGGGAGTTCTCGTGCAGAACAAAGGAAGGCTCCACCAGCAGCTGGGGAAGGAAGGCCCTGGTCTGCAGCTGGAAGGTCCTGATTGGCCCTGATGACTGGCCAGGTTTAGGGACCCTACCCATGCACAAATTTTATGCACTAGGCCTCTAGTATTTATATATATTTAAACCATTCAACAAATATGTCAGTCTATGTGGGAATGATATACTTGTTAGAAAAGTTTGTTCAAGAGAGTGCGAATTAAAGCAAAGACATATCATTATCAAAAGGAAGAGAAATGTGGCAAGTATAAGTTTGTATTCTAGATTGTGAATATCATTCCTGAAGTGTCAAGTGATCCTCTTCCCTTCCCCGGGGCACATTTATGCTTCTTGTTTCTCTCAGGTCCTCAACCAGGTCCTGGTAATATCTAGGATAGCAAAACTTTATTCTTCTCTGACACTAGTGACACCCACTTATGTTTATTCTGATTCTGAAGCATGGGTTGATACTTCAAAGACTTGGCTTGAATCTCAGTACTGTCATGTTTAGGGATGGGATCTTAAACCTGCTACTCATGAGTCTCATTTCCTCATCTGAATATTAGAAGTAATGGGTAGCTCACACTGGGTTGTAGGGATTAAATTATGTACATAAAATGGCATTGACTTCTACAATGTAGTAGGCGCTTCTTATTAGGTGAAATCACTTTAATTCATTTGCCAGTTTCTGCATAATCAGACTGAACATCTGCCTTAAAAAAAATTTTTTTTTTTAATAAATCTTTATTGTTCATATTACAAATGTTCCTCATTTTTTTCCCCTCAATTGCTCCCCTCCACCAGGTTCCTACCCCACCCTCTGCCCTTTCCCCACCCTCCATTGTCCTCAGCCATAGGTGCACAGTTTTTGTTCAGGCTCTTCCCGCACGCCCCACTTCCATTTTCCCCCGAGGATAGTCAGTCCACTCCCCTTCCATACCTCTGATTCTATTATATTCACCAATTAATATTGTTCATCAGTTTTTTAATTCCCTTGGCTTTTAGTTTCACTTGTTGATACTTACGTATTTGTTGATCATAATTTTTATCTATTATCTTCTTTCTCTTCCTAAAGAACCCCTTTCAGCAATTCATATAATTCTGGTTTGGCGGTGATGAACTCCTTTAGCTTTTTTTTAATTTGTGAAGCTCTTTATCTGGCCTTCGATTCTGAGTGATAGCTTTGCTGGGTAGAGTATTTTTGGCTGTAGGTTCTTGCTATTCATCACCTTGAATATTTCTTGCCATTCCCGTTTGGCCTGCATGGTTTCTGTTGAGAAATCAGCTGACAATCGTATGGGTGCTCCTTTATAGGTAACTACCTGCTTTGCTCTTGCTGCTTTTAATATTCTCTGTCTTTTGCTCTTGGAATTTTAATTATGTGTCTTGGTGTGTTCCTCTTTGGATTCCTTTTGTTTGGGGTTCTGTGCGCTTCCTGGACTTGTATGTCTATTTCTTTCTCCAGGTGGGGGAAGTTTTCTGTCACTATTTCTTCCAGTATACTTTTGGTGTCTTGCTCTCTCTCTTCTTCTGGGACCCCCATAATTTTGATGTTGGTTCGTTTGAAATTGTCCCAGAGGTTTCTTACACTATCTTCAACTTTCTGGATTCTCTTATCTTCTTGCTTCTGTGGAGGAGTATCCTCTGGCTCTTTGTGTTCCAAATCTTTGACTTGATTCTTGTGGTCTTTCATTCTGTTTTTAGGACTCTGTATAATATATTTTATTTCAGACAATGTATTCTTTATTTCTAGTTGATCCCTTTTATATCCCCTTATATCTCATTTATTTTATTGGCCTTTTCTAGGAAATTCTTGAAAAACCTTATAAGCGTGGCTTTGAACTCTATATCCAGTCGCTTCTTGTCCTCCATTTCTTTTGTTTGTGATCTGTTTCCTTGTCTAGGCATTTTCACAGCTCCTCTGAATAGGTAGGGTGGCTTTGTGTGCTAAGGTGTCTGTATGATTCAATGGGTCAGCCTCCCAGTTACCTGAGGTAGACAGTCTTGTTGTAGCCCTTTGTGGGCTGTGTGTGCAGTCTTGTTGTTAAGGTTTGCTTGTTGTTGGTATCACTGGGAAGCGTTGACCTCCAAGCCAATTGGCTATGAGGATCAGAAGTGTCTCAGCTAGGAGGGTTTCTGTATTCCGCTTGGATGGGGCGGAGTCTCGGGGTGGCACAGCCAAGCTTTGGTGAATCCTGCACGATTGGTTGCAGGCATCCGTACCTCTTTGGTATCGGTGCAGATAGGCTTTAGATTCCTGCTTGTCCCTCCCAAGGAGAGTCCTATTTACAGCGAACGAGAAAGCTAGCCACTGGAAGGGCTTCTGTGCTCCGCTTGGATGGAGTGGAATCTCGGGATGGTGTAGACAAGCTTTATTCAGCCCCTCCCTATGAGAGTCTGGTTTCTGAGTCCCGCAGTAATGGCTGCTGGCTTCACACACCTCCCAGAGATCTCTGCCCACTGCCTGACAGTCTGGCCTCTCCCTGTTGGAGGCCGTTTATCAGAGCAATAGGATGGTTCTGTTTTCCTCCTGAACAAGAAAGCCAGCTGCGCTTTAGCTGTCCGCCCTCTCCTCGCACAGGGAATAAGCCAGCAGTGAACTCGGCCGCCCTCTCTGTGCACTGGGAGTAAGCCAGCAGTGAACTCGGCCAGCCCTCTCTGCAAGCAAGTCAGCAGCAAAGTCTGGCGGCCTTCTTTTCGCAAGCACAGTTCTCTGCACCTTCACAATTCCTGAGGTTCAGTGTGCCTTCTCTCTCCTTCCCAGATGGCAGAGCCTCCTCTCAGCCAGGATGGCAGAGCCTCCTCTCAGCCAACAAATTCAAATTTGTTGTGGTAGGCTGAATTCGGGTGTCTACCCTATGCCGCCATCTTGGTTTCTCTCTGAACATCTGCCTTTGAGTAGAGGAAAACAACCTGGAATTTAAAATTGGTATTGATTGCGGACTTAATTTTTATTCTGTTTAGCTGATTCATTTTTTCTCAGTGGAAGGTGTGTTGGCCTTGATTCAAAGAAAAGAATATTCAGAATATAATGCTGAAAAGATATATCAAACCATGTTGCATTTAACATAGGTGAGGGTACTGAGAATGGAAATTGGTCTTAGTTGTCATATTGGGTGTCCCACATAAACAAGGGCCTTGGCACATTATAGACACTCCATATTACATTTAAAGGAACAGGGAAATCTGTTTGGAGGAGAAACATGTTCTAATATGGAGTACATGATGTGCACTGATGCATTTTTGGGTAGCTAAGGTAGATGTCTATGAGAGGTTGTCAAAGGAGAACAGTTTTGATATTTTAGCCATTGTCTTTTAGCCATGATACTTGATTCATTTAGGTACAGATCTTCATAATGGTTCATATATATTAAAGAAATTTAAGTCAGTAATTTAAATTAAAATGATCATTTGTGCTGAATTAAGCTAGAAGGCGAACTGAGACAGGAATGTAAAAGACTTTAGAACAGGTATTGGAGTTCAGAATTCCCAACTATTCTAAGTTAGATTTCTAGGCCTTAAGTCATTGTACCAAAAGGAAATAAAATTTTATGTGGAGAAATTAATTACTCTTGCCATATCCTCATTGTCTATCTTTTCTTTCCTTCCGCTACTGTAACTTGGCCAAGCGCCAAACCTTAGAGCAGCAATCTTTATCCTTTACCTCCTCCATTCCTTGGAGGCATGGACAGTTGAGTACTTCCGGGATTACTGTATTCTGTCTGACAGCTGTGGCTCCAGCCTGTCTATTTTACACTGACACCGGAGATATTTCTATAACTAATCTGATTGTGTTAGTTCTCTTCCTTAAATCCTTTATGGGTTTCTTATAGTCTTTAGGATTAAAAATCAAAATTCTCTAGTATGGAAAATCACTTTTAGAGATCTGGCCTCTTGTTATCAATTTCCTACCTGATCTCTTGACTCTTTTCCACATATTAACCAGTCGCATTTCTCTGAATGTTGTTTTCATGCCACTGAACATATGATGTTTCTTTTTTCCAGGTATGCTTTTCTCTCTTTTCCAATGCATCAACTACAGGTCATTTAAAACTCCTTGAGGTTACCTCTAGAAAACTCTGACATTTCTTTCCTAGTTCAGGTTAGATAGTATCCTATGACTAATGTTCTCAACGGTACCTAACCCAATATATTGTCCACATACCTTCTTTCTCACGAGACTGTGAGTTTTATTGACTACTGGATATTCTTTTTTTTTAAAAAAAATATATATATTTTATTGATTTTCCACAGAGAGAGATAGAGAACTAGAAACGTCAACCAGCTGCCTCCTGCACACCCCCTACCGGGGATGTGCCTGAAACCAATGTCATGCCCTTGACCGGAATCGAACCTGGGACCTTTCAGTCTATAGACCGACGTTTTATCCACTGAGCCAAACCGGTTTTAGCTGGATATTGTTATTATCACTTTAGCTTATAACTTGTCATTGCTTTGCATAATATAGAAGCCTAGAACTTTAGTAAATGTGTGATAGTTAATTTATCAGAACCCCCAAATGTGCCCAACTAAGTTCTGGGTATTATGAACAATTGAGAAAAAGAAGAATATTGTCCCAGCCCTGCTCATAATCAATTGTGTGGATAAAATGATTCATAAAATAGAGATTAATAAAGTAGGACATTAAATGAGGTCTAAGGTAGAATGTTTTGAGAATAGGATATTATTGGAAATCTCAAATCCCTTGGCATTTTAAATCTGCTCTTATATCTAATGGTGTAACTTTTGGTTGTAGTTGCCTAATATCAATTAAGTTGAATTATTTATTCTTAGTCAATTGTGTGTAGATGTGATAATTTTGACTTGAAGAATACTCTGCTAGACTTTAAGAAACCTCTTTGTTTGACTTAGTTTGAAATTTAATTTGTTGGTTTTAAAAAATATTGTATCTTCTAAGGATAGCCTGGATTTTGGTATGTCAAGTTAGTAATTGTTCTTTGTTCTATTTTCAGATCCTTGCCTGTCATTGAGTCCACCATGCTTCACAGAAGAAGACAGATTTAGTCTGGAAGCTCTTCAAACAATACACAAACAAATGGATGATGACAAAGATGGTGGAATTGAAGTAGATGAAAGTGATGAAGTAGGTGGAAAAACTCTTTCCCTGGAAGTCTCATAACACGCAATGAAGTTTTAGTCTTAAATTTTCCCATTATTCCTTGTATGACTCAGCTCCTTCAACATCTTTTGTTTTTCTCTTTACATTTTAATTTTACCCTTTGTATTTTGTGTTTTTCTTTTTTTTCCTACATGTGTATATTAAATCTTCCCAGTTTTGTAAGAACCCTTAGTCTCATGTTCCTGGATTTCTCAAATATATATTTTATTCTGGCTCTGTCAGTTACCTATTGCTGCTTTACAAACTACCACAAAATGTAATAGCTTAAAAAGACAACAGTTCATTATTTTCTGGGTTGACTGGGCTTACTTCCTGGGAACCTTCTCTGTTCCCTAGGTATGGGCTGAGGTCACTATTGCATTTCCACTCAGTTGGGAACTCTGCTGGGGCTAGAATATTTAAGGTTACCTCTTGTCTTTTAAGGTCTCTCTCCATGTGACCACTCATTCAGGAGTCTAGCTCAAACTTCCTCACAGTATGGCACCTGGCTTTCAGGTGTCAGTGTTGCAAGAAAACAAGTTCTCATATAGAAGTGCTTATCATGCTTCTGTTTGCCACAGCCTGTTCATATCACATTGGCTAAAGCAAGTTTTGGCTAAGCTCAGAGTCTATGTAGGAGAAGATTATATAAGGGCATGAATACTTGGAGATGTGATTTATTGGGGGTCACCTATATAATTACTACTGTACTCACTCTACAATAAATAATGCTCATTTCTTTTTAAAAAATATATTTTATTTATTTTTTACAGAGAGGAAGAGAGAGGGATAGAGAGTTAGAAACATCAATGAAAGAGAATCATTGATCAACTGCCTCTTGCACACTCCCTACTGGGGTTGTGCCCACAACCAGTATACATGCCCTTGACCGGAATCGAACCTGGGACCTTTCAGTCTGCAGGCCGAAGCTCTATCCTTTGAGCCAAACCGGTTTTGGCAATGCCTTATTTCTTAAGCATTCTTATTTACCCCCTTCCCCCCAATCTGGTATCTCTCTTAGTTTCTCCACAAAGGTTGAGTTCTCTTACTTTTGCTTTCAAAACAAAATCTCATCAGTCTTCTTTGAAATCCCTAACTGTTGAATGGTACTCCTGGTTCTACTTCTCAATTCTTATTCTTCTAAATCAGTAATTGGCAGGTTTTTTCTGTAAAGGATCGAGTTATAGGTTGAAGTGTGTACCTTCCAAAAACATACTTTGAAGTCCTAACCCCATTATCTCAGAATGTGATTTTATTTGGAAATAGGGCCATTTCAGATGTAATTTGTTAAGATGGGGACATATTGAAATAGTGTGGGCCCTTAATCCAGTGACTGGTGTCTTTAAAAGAGAGGAGAACATCATGTGGAGAGGAGACATGGATGAGGGGAGCAGATGACCATATGACAGTGGAGGCAGAGATTAGAGTTATGCAGTGATAAGTCAAGGAATGACAAGAATTGCTGGTGACACCACAAACTAAGAGAGAAGTATGGAACAGATTCTATTCTTAATTAAGCCTTTGATAGAACATGGCTGTACTGATAATTTGATTTCAGACTTACAGCCTCTAGAGTTGTGAAAAATATATTTCTATTGTTTTAAGCAGTTTTGTTTGTGGTATTTTGACACAGCAGTCCTAGGAAACTAATGCAGGCCATCTACTAAATTTTTTAGATTTTATGGGTCATATTCTCTCTGTAGTAACTATTAACACTCCTGTTAAGAGCCATATTAACAGTGCAGGACATAAAGGGCATGTCTATGTCCCAATAAAACTTTATTTGTGAAAATAAGCAGCAAGCTGTAGTTTGCCAACCCCTGCTATAAACAGAATCTTGTGTTCTTAAGTTATTTTCTTTCTCATTTACCTATTCTAGTTACAGCTTGCTCTATTTTAATCTAGGACAGTGTTTTCAACCAGTGTGCTGTGATGCGCTGGTGTGCCGTAAGAATTTTTAATACATGCTATACTTGACTGTTTAGTCAGGGGCACTGACCTCTTTTCCCTTAGATTGTCAAATAAAAAAAAGATAACAGCCCACACAACAGTAGCCTTCTGGTGTGAATGAATCAAAATCGTATCTTTTTTTTTCCAAATTGGCAAAAGGTATAATATATTTTTTGGTATGCCATAGAATGTTAGTAATTAGTTTATGTATGCCAAGAGATGAAAAAGGTTGAAAATTGCTCATCTTGGTATTTGTTATCTTGTGCCTAGACTATCACCTCTACATGTTTTCCTCTCTAATCCATCATGAATATCACTTTGAGAGTGTTTTTCTCTAGCTAGGAAACTTAACAGTGTGTTTTTTTAGTGCATATTAGATCAGATACCAGATATTAACTCTTTAGTCTTATATTTAACTAGAGGCCCAGTGCACAAAATTCATGCACTACCTCAAGGGGGTGGTATTCTTCAGCCCCGCCTTCACCTTCTCCAATACAGGACCACTTGGGGGATGTCCGACTGCCAGTTTAGGCCTGATCCGGGACCGCTGGCTTTTAACTGCTCACCTGCCGGCCTTTCTAATCACCCCTAACCCCTCTGCCTGCCTGCCTGATTGCCCCTAACCACCCCTGCCTTGGCCCACACCCAGGACCCAGGCTTCCCTCCTCCAGACTGCAGGAACCAGGGACCTGGACTTCCCTCCCTCTGGCTGGCTGCAGGCACCCAGGACCCAGGCCGGCTTCACCTGGGGCAGCTTTGCCTGGGCTGCAGCTGCAGGTGCTGTGGACCATGGGCAGGCAGCTTTTCCCAGGCCCAGCTTTGTTAGGAAGGACATCTGGAAGACGTCTAGTCTAATTAGCATATTACCCTTTTATTAGTATAGCTGTCCCTGCATTAGCTGACCTTTGCTTACTGAGATTATCTTTTCTCATTATGGTTAAATTATTTTGGTTAGGATCCAGTGACGTTAATATCAGAATAATATTTTTCAACTTCTAAATAGTCCAGTTTATTTCATTCATTTATAGAACCACAGGTGATAGAATAATGCTAGCTTATACTATGTTTCCAACTTAAAGAGCATTTAAATATCTGTTTGTCTTCAGGTAGAATGAGTGAAATGAAATTGATGAATTATTGAGTTTTACTATTACTGGAAACCAACATAAAGCAATTACCATTTAATTTGAGTCATCCTATAGAATAAAGAGCTAATATGCTAATTAGAGCAAACAGCTAACAACCATCCAGATGACCCTTCTGAATGACCTTGAGTGAAGCTGGGCTGTGAGGGCTAAGGCAGCTGGGGCTGTGAAGGGTGAGCCCCTTGCATGGATTTCGTGCATTAGGCCTCTAGTTTTATTATATTGAGTAATTCATTTTTTTAACATCCTTACCATTTCTTCACTCTCTCCCAGGACACACAGTCAAGCTATAAGATAATTTTTAATAATAATTCTTTTCGTTATTAGTGATGAATTGTTCTTTCTAATTTCAAGTGGTTTATTTTGTTGCCAGTATAATTGCTTAAGAATTTGGATATCAACCCTGGCCCACCTGGCTCAGTTGGTGGGAACATTGTCTTGTGTACCAAAAGGTTACAAATGCTATTTCCGTTCAGGGAACTTACCTAGGTTGCAGGTTTGATTCCTGGTTTGGGTAAGTATGGTGGACAACCAATTGATGTTTTTCTCTCACATGGATGATTCTCTCTCCCTCCCTCCCTCCCTACCTCCCTCCCTCCCTCCCTCCCTAAAATCAATAAAAACATATCCCTGAGTGAGGATTAAAAAAAAAAAGATTTGAATATCAAATATGCTAGCATAAATTCTATTAGTTCATAAGTTGTTACTATCTATATAAATTATGGAATAAATAGAATTTGTTAGTGTATTTGTTAGTATATTTGTACTTTTTTCAGAGAGAATTATTTTTTAGGCTAAACAGCCTTCATAAAATTTCTTTGTCATTTATAGTATAACCATATTAGTTTTATCAAACAAATTCCATGCCAAATCTGAAGTATACAGTATTTAGTATGTGAATGGTCCATGCCGTTTTATAATTATGTCCAACAATTAAATTGGTGGTAACTTTTGACATTAAACTTTATGGTATTGAAAAGACATAATTTTAAGTTATTATCCTGATGGTTCTTTGTTTTCCTTTGATTTTGCTATTAATTGAGGACCTAATCACTGCTTAGCATTGTTTTAGGTTAAAAAACATATTAATACTGAAGGATTATTTTGGGAGAGCATATATGATTAATTTTAAGAGTCTTAGTATTATAAAATATTTGAAAATATTGCTGTACATTTTCATGTTTAAAGCTGGAATAGTTTTAGATAGCCACGTTTTAGAAGTTAAAAATTAACTTATTAAGATTGCTTAATTTTGTATACTTAGAATAAGGCTAGATTCTTAGAAACCACTTTTGTTATTGACATATGAAATTGTAAATATTACTATTATGTGGTGTTTTCTGATACCAATCAAGTTTTCAATTCTTCAACATCAACTGGGTGTCTGACAATTCAATTCAATTCTGATACTGTCCACTTGGAGTAGTGTCAAATTCCACAGGTTAAAGGGCTTAGTCCCATAAGGCTGCCTCCCACTTGAGATGCCAGTCACAAGTCTCTGGCCATGTGTACTTCTGACCAACCTGCTCTCAACCAGGTGTTCCTACAACTCCCTTCTCAGATTTGATAATTTGTTGGGATTGATCACAAAATTCAGGAAAACAGTTTACTTATGTTTGCTGGTTTGTTATGAAGGAACAGCCACATGGAAGAGATATATTGAACAAGGTATGGGAGGAAGGGTCTAGAGCTTTCATGCCCTCTGGGCATGCCACCTCAATATGTTCACTAACCTGGAAGTGCTTTGAATTTCAAAATTTAAGAGCTTTTTTATAGAACTCAGTTTCCCCAGAGGCCAGGTGGGTGGGACTGATAGTTCCAACCTTAATCACTGAGTCTTTTTGGTGAACAGTCCCATCCTTAGAATGTAGGAGACTAATCCAGGGTCAT